TGTGTTGGTAGAGATAGGATATTTTAGGATTTAACAAATCTTGAGCTAATTCCAAAGCCAGCATTTTCTTTTTATTTTAATTATATTTGAGTCTATAAGCGTTTAATTGTATGGGGATAATTATTTGTAATATTTGCGTCTACAAGAATAGGTTTGTTTCGGGGATAAGCAAATAATGGTTGCTTATATTTCAATCTAGGTGCTTGCTTAGTTCCTCTTGGACAACACCGGTGGCGTAGAGATGGGAGACGTGCTGCATGGACAACCTCCGATCTCTCATAAAACCCTGCCCATGACTGCGCTGTGGAGGGAAGAGCCCAGCGTCGCCCCCCACCGCGACGGCAAAACACGGGAAGCTACAATCTGCTGATTGGGGGGGGGATTCCGTAGGTACTTCTGTATGGGGAACTGACCACCGGCAAGAGGTCGACCTCATCTTTGCTTCAAGGACGTCTGCAAAAGTAACATGAGAGCGATGGGCATAGACATCGAGAGGTGGGAAGGCGTTGCCAACGACCGCTTACGCTGGAGACACGGCTTACACCGAGAGCTGGAGAGAGGAGAGGAGAAACGAAGGTTTGCCGCCGTTGAGAAGCGTGCTCTGGGGCAAGAAGTGACTTTTTTTCATTTTAACGCCTAGAAAACGAAACTGCTCAATCGTCTGACAGAACCCTTTCTACGTTCCATTGGCATGGCTAATGCTAACCTCCAGAAGAGTGACTCGTCGTGCCTTCTCCGGCTAAAGTTCTCTGCTGGCATGAAGTGGAACGATTATATCTAATCAATTGCTAGGTCTACTGATAGGATAATTGGTTGTTTGTGTCATGCTAGACATTTTTTCATGCTTGAATATATCTTACTTATTTACAATTTGCCTACACTAAGAATATTGTTGTCATATATGCTCTAGTGCTCCTGCTGTATATTTCAGTCAGTTATGTGCCATGCGTGATACACGCTTAGGCGATCATGTCTCTTTCGATACATGACTGACGAGGCAGATTTTTTTTCTCGCAGTAGGTTGCCATTTCTTTCTGCGGTAAACCAGTTGCCATACAAGGCTATAGAAGCCGTTCTGTCCTGCTATTTACCCATAGCGGGGAGAAAAAGAAGAGGAGTCATACCTTTCCCAAGTTTCCTCAATTCAAGCAGCTATCCATTCATTTATGTACCTTGCGTGATACACGCTTAGGCGATCATGTATCTTTCGATACATGACTGACCAGACAGATTTTTTTTCCCGTGGTAGGTTGCCGTTTCTTTCTGCGGTAGACCAGTTGCCATCCAAGGCTATAGAACCCGGTCTGTCCTGCTATTAACCCATAGCTGAAGGTGGGGAGAAGAAGAGGATTCATACATTTCCCATGTACCTAAGTGAATGTAATGGATTCGAGTGGAATTCGAACTCGGATTTACAGATCCTTAATAAAATCCAAAGAAGTATCTGCAATGTTATTGGTCCTGACCTGGCATCTCGGTTTCTGTCACTTTTTCCACCGACGTAATGTAGCTTCCCTGGGTCTTTTCTATAAATATATTCATCGTAATTGTTCAGATGAACTCTCCTCTATGGTAACTAGGCTATGAATTTGAGCGCAGTACTAGATTGGCTGCCAGGTTTCATCATTTTACAGTTGAATTGACTAAATGTAATCGTAATTTCTATGCTAACATTTTTCATTCCCCCCATTTCTCGCTTGTGGAACTCTTCCAGCTTTCCAATCAACTTTGAGCTTCAAAAATTTAAATGTCAATCATTATCTTCTGTCTTCTTAAGTCCTGGTTTTATTTTTCTCTATCTTTATTGTTTTTTTTTGTTTTGTTTTTTTTGTTGTTGTTTTTTGGGTGTTTTTTTTTTTTTTTTCTCATATTCACATAACACTCAGTAATCCCTTTGCTTCTTTGTAATCCAGAAGAATCAAATTATGAAGAATTCCAAATAGATGGATACGTTCCAACCAGGCTGAATATATATATATATATATATATATATATATATATATATATATATTAAATAAAAACAGACCACTTTAAGGTTCCATGTAATAAATTATTTCACCACAGCCCTTTTAAAGGACTGCGGATCATCAGACTTTACTTCCAAAGGTTGAAACGAAAAATGAAAAGAAATTTACACATTTTTGACAGGCCGTATTATGCATATGTAAATTAACGAAGTGAGGAAATGAGGGGAGATAGAGAAGACATGAGTGAGTTAGATGTAATAGATAGATAGATAGATAGATAGATAGATAGATAGATAGATAGATAGATAGAAAATTAAAACCTTCAGACACACTGGGTTGTATATTAATATTCTTTCGTTTTTATTATTATTTCATTTAGATTCCTCGACTAGTTTCGGCCAAGGAGAAAAATAATTTTCTGCTTGCTGGTAGCAGTGAACTACAGAAATGAATGTCTTGTTGGAGAAAATGAACTTTTGTCTGTAGTTTTCATTTGTTTTGTTTTGTTTTGTTTTTTGTTTTTTTTTAACATGAATTTTGGTCAGTCTTTGTGTTGGTCAAACAGTCTCTTTTAAGTTGTTATTTGAGATAAGAGTTGGATGGGTTCATGCTGCTCTGACTTACCTTGGTCATTTTGGTAGTTTTATTGGTTCCTGGAAATATATATATATATATATATATATATATATATATACAATTAATTAATTAAAAAGAACGGTCATTTTGTGCCGATAAATTTTACTGATCGACTTTTCCAAATTGCGAAAAATACTTCTCGGGCAAGGAAGGAATTCCGTCAAAAATTGTCCAAAGTTCATTTCGGAAGAAAAATACAAGAAATGTGGTAATGGACACAAAAGGTTTGCCGTTTTTAATTGTATTTACCTTTAAAAACAATTCTTGCCTAAATGCCAGAAAAATATATATATATATATATATATATATATATATATATATATATATATATATATATATATTCTGTGTATTTAGGCCTGAAGATTACGTTTAAACATGAAACAGACTGTGGTCGATGGGTGTTGATCTCAATGTCCACTTTTATATTTATATACGCTCTGATATTGACCGGCATAAATATAGCATGCTTAAAACTATAATTTTATCATATATATATATATATATATATATATATATATATATATATATATATATTGTGTAGAATAACAATAATAAACAGCACTTACCGGCGTATATATATACGTTTGTTTTATGTTTCTTAATTCTCTATAAAACGATGTGTCCAAAGAGGAAATCATTTTCCCACGATAAATCATGTTTTATATTTCACACGAACCTCTCATAATTATTTAGTTTTATGAATAAATACTAAAATAATGTTGAAATAATGATGAAGAGTAATTAAGATACTTATATCAGGTTGTTGAACATTAGATTGCTGATTTGTTTAAACATGATTAATGGGAAAAATAATTTGGGGATAAAAATTCAGCCAAAGTATACGTTTTATCCACCTCAAGAGCAAGTCATCAATTCTTTTTTCTAAAGAATTTCTCATTCAATGGACTGAGAAAACTCTTGAAACCAATTCCATCCTGATTCAGAAACAATGTGGCCAATTGCTTGACAAAATTGTAATTTATAGGAAAGAGTTTGGGTGAATGAACAGTTATAATAGTTTTATCAGAAAAAAATATCTGTTCAATAGAAAGAAATTTTTGGCGTTCGTGCCAAGCAGGAAAGTTGTTGAACATCTTACAGACCATGTTGAGTAGCTCAGGCAACATGTGGGCGGGCATTATACTGCTGAAACATATATCATCTTTCTGTTGCAGGAATAGCAGTATAGCGGGATGAACAATGTTCTTGATGTACATGAAGTTGTTAAACCCCCACCCACACCACAAGCATCAAAGGTGAACTAGAGTTGTAATTTGATACACTATATTATTAAAATACCAGGATTTGCGCCTGTGTGTCATGAATGAATGCATTCTGGAAGTTGTCATTCTCCGGGTCATCGCTGCATACAACAATGAACATAACATACAGGAAGGAAGAATGTGCGTTTATTAATGAACTATAGTGTCATTCGATCTCTTAACTGATACTCGCACGAGATCATTGGAGACGTGCTGTGGTGTAAGTGGTTGTAGTCCTGCTCTAAAGAAATGGATTGCAACGGTCCGTGTTGAGTCTCCTGTGCCCACGTTTGCGCTGTGGACGTTAAATAATAGTTTAGCAAACTATTATTTTTTTAAAGAAGTGTATTCTGCTCTGACTTCTTCAGTTTGACCTTTGAGGTCAGATACAGGACAAAACAAAGGAATTCGATTTTGTTTGGCTGAGCTGATAGAGAAAGGCTTCGGGGAGTCGAGTCAAAACCGTCATGTGTTTTCCGTTCGTGTTTGGAAGTGACTTCCCAAAGGAACGGGAGAGCAACCCCACTGAATAGTAAGAAGATGTATACGTCGACGTTAATAAACTAGCTAAGTTAAAATTCCCTGTGTAGAAGTTCTCTTTTATCTCCGAATCGAAACGACAAGCGATCCCGGCCGTGAAAGAAGACACAACATTGTATTTATTGACGCGGTGACCAAGAACACCCCAGAACGAGTGGGACAGGCAACATGAATGCCGCTGCTGCCCTTAAAATTAATCTCAGCGAACGTATATCCTACTTAGCCGTCCAGAACCTGGTCTAAGGATGCAGATATATCCATTTGAGTGCTGTTGCCAACTTCGATGACCAAACGATGTTTTATGCCCAACATGTGCAATAATTCTCCGAAAAGACCACCCAGCTTAACAAAAAGCTCACTATCCGGCTCCTTTTAAAACCTCTCTACTTAAGCAAACGTGTATTACCGTTGTATGGTACTTGTTTGCACTAAGTTCTTTCATCACGAAGAAGCTTATCGTAACATGCGTCACCGTCTAAATCTCAGACAGACGGTGCGCTGCTATGATTGTCACTCCATCAAAAAGATGACCGGAACCATTAAACACTGAAACCTTTATGAGACTATATACTGCTGAAAAGTTCTCAGCCCGACGATGAACGGTTAGATTTTGAAAAGTGAATACTAAAGTCACCACCGACTAGGGACAATCTGTTTCAGACTTGAATGCAATCGTAAAGCCTGCGTTAAGTCACATAGCTGTTATTCACAAATATCAAATTTGAAAATGTGCCAACATAATTGATATCTGCATATCTTTTTAAATTTTGGGAAAAAATTTTTAAAAACTTTTTGTATGTTTTATTTTTTTTTTCGGAAGCCCATACACCAATATTTGAAAATTATTTATCTTAATTTAAGAACAAACGGATACATAATTTTATTATGTAAATTTATGTAAATTTTGTCCTTTACGTAAAAATGTATGTATCCATTTGTTGGTTATTTAAGAGATGTCCTTTCTTTTTAAACTACCTAAAAAGTGTTTATATCTATTTATTTATTTATTTTATCTATCTCAATTTGACTATATATATCTATTCATCTATCGCAGTGTATCCATATCATTATATCTATCTATCTCAGTCTGTCCATATCTATCTATCTATCTATCTATCTATCTATCTATCTATTCCAGTCCGTTTATATCTATTTGTCTAACTATCTATCTATCTAGGTATCTAGCTATCTATCTAATTATGTCCATATCATTTAACTATCTATCTCGGTCTGTCCATATCTATCTATCTATCTATCTATCTATCTATCTATCTATCTATCTATCTATCTATCTATCTATTTCAATCTCTTCATATGTAACTATCGATCTCAGTCTGTCCATATCTATCTATCTATCTATCTATGTCCATATTTATCTATGTCTGTCCATATCTATCTCAATCTGTTCATATGTCTCTTTTCCCTTTCATTCTCTCTCTCTCTCTTTTTATATGTCTACCTATCTCTCTTCCCCCCCTCTCTCTCTCCCTCGATCTCGTGTTTTAGTCCCCATTTCTTATTCATTCACAGTCATTCTCTTTCACTCTTCCTGTCTCTCTTTAGCATCTCTTTATCTGCTTTCCCTCTTTCTCTTTCCTTTCATCCTCTCTTTCCTTCTCTCTCTCTCTCTCTCTCTCTCTCTCTCTTTCCCATTTGCTTCTCAATGCTTATTCACTCTCAGTCATTCTCTTTCTGTTCCCTTTCATCTTCTCTCCCTCTCTCCCCCGTTTGCTTCTAATTTCTTATTTGCTCTCAGTCGTCTTCTTTCTCTCTTCTTCATTTTCTCTTTCTTTCTCCACTTTGCTTCCATCCATTCTCTCTTTCCTCTTCTCGCTTCTTATTCACTCTCATTCATTCTCTTTCATTATTTCTCCCTCTTCACCATTCTCTTTCCCTAATCTATCCTACTCGCTTCTTTCTTTTATATCTCTCTTTCGGTATCACTCTCTTTTTTTGTCTCGCCTTATCTTCATTACCCAGCTCTGTGCGTGTGTTCGTCTGCGTGTTTTTAACTTACTCTTCTTCCTCTCTTGTCAGTCGTTCCCCAGTTTTTCTCTTCTCTTCTTCTCTGTCCCTTTTTTTTACTCCTACTTGTGTGCGTTGTTGTCACCACGGCAACACTACAATTCTCTCTCTCTCTCTCTCTCTCTATATATATATATATATATATATATGTCTTTTCTTTCTCTCTCTCTCTCTCTCTCTCTCTCTCTCTCTCTCTCTCTCTCTCTCTATGAGCAATGCGATGTCGCCATGGACACAGACATGCCGCTATTGGTCAGGTAAAAATGCATCGCTCTTCAACCAACTAATCAATACATATTCTGCTCCGGACACTGACATTTTTTTTTTCAAACAGATTGCCCATAACTGATCATCGAAAAATATAAAAGGGTTGCTTAATGATCGAACTCAACGGTGATGCATTGGACTACAGGCCAGAGGGTTTCGAAATTTTAACTCCGTTGAAATGCCACCGATATACATAAAAAGAAAAATAACTATCAAATGTGAGAAAGACAAATTTGATTCAGGGAAAAGAACCACTCAAGCAGCTGTTAGTCTAGTAATAACTCTATGTAAATAGACTGAACGCTAACTTTTATGAGATTTGAACGTAGATTTCTGTCGAAAGGATAAAGTTAGTTAATACCTAACTGAAAAAAACCATCAAAAGATCTGCTCAATGCAGCGGTCAGTCTAGTGTTTACAATGACCCCATGTAAATGTATTTACGGGTTACTTTGTTTGATGGACAGTGGTCTGACCGCTAACTTTTGCGGAATTCGATCGCAGATTACTGTCGAACGGATAAGGTGTGATTATAATGATATCCTCTGATTAAAAAACTAAAAGCCTTTAGTTAGAAGCCGGTGTTAAAAGTGTTCTTTCTGGTGTTAACCTTATCAGGCTTTTTAACTCCCCTGGCACTGCTGGGGGGACATTTTTTGCGCTCTTTATTCCTGTTTCTAAAAACAAGTCTTAAAACTACTCGATTCGATGCGAAATGGCCCGTGGGGTTGTTGTACCGGTAAAGTAATCTATCTAAATCTAAATCGGTTAAATATTGCGGCGATAACATTTTTCGATGAGAGATCTACCGAATTGGGGTTTGTTTACAAGTCAAACATTAGCCTGCTTCAGTTGGAAATGACTAACTGTAAATTCGAAGGGCGATGTTTAAAAGTTAACATTTTTTGGCAGTTTTTTTTCCTGTTTCTTGGGTGAAATCCCAGTTTGTTTGTTTTTTTGTTTTTTTTTTTCAGAACTTAGAGATCGAAGTCAAGAGGTTTTATGAAATTTAGGTGAATGGTTCTGCTTGATTACCCTCGTTGCTGGTGCTGTTGTCAGCAACGTGATTTTGGTTTTGGAGTTGACTACGGTATGTACAGTTTGGTGATAAGTGATTAATACAGTATTCTTACAAGACAGTCTATCTCTCAAATGACCCGAACACTTGCCAGCAATAAGAAATATTTTGCAATCTTCTAGTCGACCAATAAATATACATTGAATTTATAATTTTTTCTTTTATCAGAGCCAAAAGAACCATGAGTTTAACAGTTGTCAAAAATATATATATAATAGTGAAAATAGTTTACCTAGAAAATTTTAAGAACTCTTCTTTTTTTTTTACTAATGTTCACCCAGTACAGGGCTCAATAGCCACTCAAGGTAGAGGGTTACTATGTGGAGTTGTATTAGCGCCACAAAGGGCAAAATAGCAGGAAAGTGATATAATGGAATATGCATACACCTGAGTTCCTCCTCACTGGAATGTGATTGCCTGGTGTCCGTCATAAATACCGACGGACGTGTAGGTACGAGAGTCAGAAGAGCCTTAGTCCGAGAGCTAAGTCTATAACGACGCCCATTGGACTACGCCATTGATCTACACTTCTTACCTGCGACTACGACGCGTACCAATCGATTACTGCTACCGTATTCTACTTGGTTATAGTAGCCAAAACCACTTAGCTACTTCGTTCAAATATATACCTTTCCGGGACATATCAGAAAGATACACACCTAATTCAAAACTTAAAGAGATCAAGATTTAATTAGTCAATAAAATTCAGGCACAGACGTTAGGAGTATAGAGTTGAAGTAGACTTTAGAAGGAACCGGAAACCCAATCCTAAACAGGAAACAATGGATGAACTTCTACTCCTGTTCAAAAGACCGGAGATGAGTGTGGACCGGACGATAGGAAAACCTATCTACTTCTATTAGGAGAGGGGAAAATAATAATTACAAAATAAAATTTCAGTATTCAAGCGGGGACGTCAGAAGTACAAAGTTGAAGGAACCGGAAACCCAATCCTAAACAGGAAAGAAGAGATAAATCTCTACTTCTGTTCAAAAAAATCAAAGAGGAATATGAACTTTTAGGCTGGGTTGTTGATGTCTCATTGCAGTGTAATATCCCTGACTCTTCTGAAGATGAGATTCAAGCTCAGTTTCTTTCACGCGGGTCTCACAATATAAACCCATTTTCACCGTAATCTACTAAGGAAAAATTTTGTTTTCTACGTGATTTTTCTTAAAACTAATGTCTTCTGCTTAAAGGAATACAATAAAAAATGCTTAGGTAGCGATATACGATTATACTCATTAAACGAGATGGGAGTGGAAGAATTGTGCATGACAACTCAAAGCATTAGGAGTTCGACACTCTTATCTCCGCTCACTCTCGACCAAAATATTTTGAACTGGGACGAGTTTCGGCTGAGAGTTGCAGCAGGAAGGAAGAGTTAAAGCGCCATAAAATAGAAGCTGTTTTGCCATCTGTGAGTCCATTCTAGTAATCACTAAGAAGGAGGAACCATATTTGACACTCTCTGCTTCCTCATTTCCAAAATCTGGTAGCAGCAGTCCCACTGGTTCTTTCAACTGTTTTTCTTCGTCCGTGATTTTTTTTGACAGTATGGTCGTTATTTTCGATCACGCCACGTTGTCTGCATCCAGCCGCATCGATTCAGCCAAAAGACAGTATCTAATACTTAACAAAGTACTGGGGGTCGAAGGCGTAGTACTACATAACGATTATATTAACTACTGCCCAATCTATAAAGTTCTTGCTTATTAAATACGTCCATAATTACCATAGATTCGGATTTTCTTGATTTTAGCAAACAGTGCTTCGCTCTGTCAGTACCAGTGCTGACTTACGTCAAACGTCTGCATGCGTCCATCTTGCACCAAACAACGTAAGCGACATTTTAAAATTGGAGTCTTACATTTCATGGCATAGTTGCAGAAACTTCTGTTCTTTATGCGCCATGCCCGTTCAGGACGTAGGCGATCATGGCTCTCCACTATTTCCTGTCCTTCGTAACTCTTAACAAATTTTGTCTTTTTATTATTTCTCCTTAACCTTGTTCCGCCATCCATTTAAGTATGTTATGCGTTGTTTTCCTCTATGCCTTCAATCTGTCCTGTGCGTATCAGATTTTCCAAGCCCTCTTTCTTCATTATGTGCCCTAGAAATTTCAACTGTCTCTTCCTGGTATTAAGTATAAGTTTCCTTTTTGTTTCCATTTTCTCTAAAACGTCGATAGACACTGGTCCGTATTAATGGCGAAAATATATTCATCTCTTCAATGGATAATTTAATTATTTTTGTTAGAATTTCTAGCATGAGAAGTTATCATTATTTACATTATCTACAGTCGGACTAATTTCTCCATTTTTGTCATGATTATTACAAGGAATCGGCCTGTTAGACATACACAGTGTTTCGCTTTCAATTTTTCACCGGGTGGACAAATCACCCCACGATTTGTTTCGTTTCTTGTTCGCGTCGGTATGCACACACAACAAAAAAACTCGAACAAGCCCGATTATTTACAATGTAAATATCTATTTTAACAGATATATAGACTGTAAATTGAATATCGGGTTTACCACAAAGACAGACACAAAATATGGGTCCAGTTTAACATTTAGCGATTCTGCATCACATAGCCACCTTTATCTTCTACTGTCACCACATTCATCATGCTTCTTTTTCATCCTCCTCTTCTTTATCTTTCTCTCCTTCTTCCTCTTCTTCCTCTTCTTCTTCTTCTTCTTGATGTTCTTCCTTTACTTCTTCGTCCTTTTCCTCTTCTTCTTCTTCTTTCTCTTCCTCTTCCTCTTCTTCTTCTTCTTCTTCTTCTTTTTCTTCGCTTCTGTTTCTTCCTCCTTTTCTTCTTCTTCTTCTCATTCTTCTTCTTCCTCCTCCTCCTCTTCTTTTTTTGATCCTCTACTTCTTCTTCCTCGTCCTCTCTTCTTCTTCCTCTTTTTCTTCTACTTCTTTCTCCTCCTCCTCTTCTTCTTCTTCTTCCTCTTCCTCTTGTTCTTCCACTTCTTGCTCTTCTTCTTCTTCTTACTCTACTTCTTCTTCCTCGTCCTCTCTTCTTCTTTCTCTTCTACATCTTTTTCTTCTTCTTCTTTCTCCTCCTCCTCTTCTTCTTCTTCCTCCTCGTCCTCCTCTTGTTCTTCCACTTCTTCCTCTTCCTCTTGTTCTTCCACTTCTTCCTCTTGTTCTTCTTCTTCTTGATCTTCCTCCTCCTCCTCCTCTTCCTCCTCTTCTACTTCTATGTACCGTGTCCCTTTAAAACATAGGCAATCTCGACTCTCCATAATTTCCTACCCTTTGTGGCACTTAGCAGTGCATCTCCCTTTACTAAGGATCTCCTCCTTCGTTCTCCTGTCCACTCATACAAGCTCACTGTCTTCCACTATCTCTCTTGTCTTCAATAAGCCCTGTGAGTGTTAAGTTTTCCCAGTCCTCCTTTCTCATTATGTGTATCACCATGATTATTCTTGGGATAGATGGTGGAGTGGTTTCCTTTTGTCTTCTTCCCGGTGTTTTTATTGAGATCCCAACTCTAGGTAACTAACCATTGACTCATCAAGAGTTATTTCAGCCACCGATAGCTCTTATTTTTCATCTTACAGGGTTGCTAACCACTCTCGTCGTACAGGCATTTTAGTGGAGACTGTCTGTCGGGTCACTTACTGAACTTTTATCATAGCTGCCAACGCTTACTTCGTTTTCTTCCTTTAAAGCCATCAATTTTCTCTCAAAGAATACAGGAAATAGTTTCCAGGGAATTGCATATTCTCGAAAATCAGTCGACAAAAGTTACTTAGCACATAGTCGTAATCCACGGTTCTTTTAAGCCTACAACTGCTGTGGTTTTTAATGTCACTTGGAGCTTATAGACGTATTTAATAAAAAAAAAAAATAGCATGTTCCATCTATCTCTTTTTTTCCATCCAAAGTCCTGAATAAGGTGAAGCCGAAAACTCTCGAGATGCTTTCTAACGAGATTCTTACCACCAATATAGCCGACCATATGCCGACGTATTATCTTTGAATGTGTTTATTTAAATGATTTGTCCATGCAGTTACTGCGTTGCTTCGTCTATATATTTATTGTCTTGTATATACGTTCATTACATTTTATTGCCTTTTGTATGAGGCTATTGTCTTGTGTACATATACTGCTATGGATAGGTTTTCTACTTTATTTTGTATTCGCATTTATTATTGAAGTATATGCTGCTATGAGAAAACTGACAACGTATGGCTGATGAAGGAGACGATGCATAAATGCAAACTCGAAAGGTTTCCGCTCTTTGACCGTGTTTTCCTTTCGCCCGAATTACTACAATCCATATGGTTGGACAGTCAGCCAACCGTAAGAAAGTGGCTTTATTCCTTGTGTACTCTCTCTCTCTTTCTCTCCCCACTCTCTCTCTCCCTTTCTCCCCCCCTCTCTCTCTCTCTCTAGGCTTACGACCACATTACGTTGAAACATTGCTTCCGACACGATCACTGGAGTTAAGCAACGTTGAGCCTGGTCAATAGCTAGATGGGTGACCACTGGGGAATATCAGGACCTGTAAACATGAATAATGGCTCGGAATTGTTAATAGGAGAGCCGAGTTCCAATTCTCATTACGAGCAAATATGGAAATCCACCTCTTCTAAGACATGGGTTAATTATTAAGGTTTGTATCACTAACCCATTAATATCTTCCCCTAAAAAAATATTACAATCTAAAAGTGTTTTCTGGCTTTAAATAACCTGCAAATGGTCGACGATAAGCTGTAAAAAAAATCACTATCTCTCTCCCTCTCTCTCTCTCTCTCTCTCTCTCTCTCTCTCTCTCTCTCTCTCGACATGTTGTTTAAGCGAAAGTAAAGTAACGTTGATGCTATTATTTTTGATTTTTAATTAATTTGCTTTTTTATTTTTTATTTATTATATTATTGATTACTGATTTCTAATAAAGCCATGAATTAGCAGTTTACCGTTTACATTTATTTTTTCATTGCCATTGTCGTATATAAATACTGATACTTAAATAAAATTTCTATAATTGCTTTGATGAAGTTCTTCAAGAAACAACACGCGTTTGCATAAATGACTGTCATTTTATCAGTCCTTATATATATATATATATATATATATATATATATATATATAAGTGAACATTAAAGTCAACACTCAGAGGCTCTGAGTGCTGACTTCAATATTCACTTATATTTATATTTACATACGCTCTATCTCTGATATTGAGCACTTTATCCCATAAATATAGCACACCTTAAAACTATATTTTTTCATATATATATATATATATATATATATATATATACACGAATTCTTGTAATATATGATAAATATAGCCATAATTTCATCTAGAAATACACTTGAAATTCTTACCAAAAAATCAAAAATATTAAATATTAAAATAAATTGAATCTATAATTATTGAGCACTTTTTAATACTACTGTTTCCTGGTCTAATTAAACTCTGACCATTAACTTTATTATATATATATATATATATATATATATATATATATATATATATATATATATATATATATATATATATACCAGCACAGATTCGCTAAAAAATAAACAAACCATGATGAATAACAAAAATAAACTTAACAAAAGCGGAGTTTTTATTTTCAGTATCTTTATGAATCATGCTATAATTGAGGATTTTTTTTTTTGCTTAATAGCAATTTCATACAGAAATTTAAAAGATACGTTATGTAAACTTAGAGTGAAGCTATGGAAACTGAAGAAGCCTAACGCAAGAGTCAAATTGTATTACAACAGACACTTGAACGACTGGTATCTGAAGGAAACATATATGAACAGTGTGAAAAGAAGAAATGAGAGACAAGATGGACAAAAATTGAAACTCGAAGTGGAACACACTAAGAGAAGCTTTAGTGACATCAGCAAACGAGATTATCCCAAAGAAAAATGGACGAAGAAGAAAGAAAGAATAGATGACAAATGATATTCTCGACATGATGCAAAGGAGACAGAAAACAATGACAAGACACGGAACGGAATACAGAAAACTACATAAATAAATAAAGAACAAATATAGACAGGCTAAAAAAGAATTGCCAATCTAGTAATGCGTTTACTTTAAATTCATAGAGTCTAGGTACCATAGAAGAGACTTCATCAGAACAATTGCGATGAAAGTATTTATAGAAAAAGGTACAGGGAAGCTACATGAGGACGATAGGAAGCTGACTGAAGCCGTGATGCCAGGTCAGGACGAATGACATTACAGATTCTTCTTTGGATTTTATCAAGGATCTGTAAAATATATAGCAGGAAGAACCATACCAGATGTGGCTGCAATATTCAAAGCAAGGAGAAATGCTAGAGTTATTAATATGTAAGATGTATTCTGGCGATAAATATTGTCTAACACGACACAGAGAATCAACTTTCCTAGCAACTGATTCAATACAACCTTTCCACTTCAAGTCAGCGGAAAACTTTAGGCCGAGAAGGCGCGACAAATCACACTCCTGGAGTTTAGCATAAACCATCAACTGATGGAAAACAGAATGCTCTCTCTCTCTCTCTCTCTCTCTCTCTCTCTCTCTCTCTCTCTCTCTCTCTCTCTCACAGAGGATTAACAGAAAGTAGTTTCGTTTTAGAGGTGTTAAAATTAACAAGTCATTCCTTGCCCTCATTAACAACAGAATGTAATGTTGAAAAGTCCACTCTAGTCAGATGAACACTTACAGTGAGATAAAGAGGTCGGAGTTATCTACCCTTAGTTTCTTTGTTTTTATTGCTGTTATGAGGGCGCACTGTCGTGTTGTCCCTAATAAATAAAATAAGTCACCGACATATGTTGTACCGTGTTAACACACGGGTCAACACGGTACAACATGTGTCTGTTTCCTTCTTGAGTTAATCCTCCAGTCTGGAATATGAAGTTGAATACCTGCATTTACACAAAACAAGATATGTCTGTGTTTGCAATCCAACTTGATGCGTAAACTTCTAACATGTAGGTCACATTTTGTGATCGCCTGCCAATTTGTTTTTCCTTACAAGAAAAATTTTATAGGCTAAAATTGAAGACAAAAGATGAACGAAGACATACAGGATTAGCAAAATTAGTTCTCGAACAAATAATGCCAAATACCTGTAAAACAGGAAATACAGCATAGTCTATCCGCCAGACATGTGACCCCCACCCCTAATCTATGCTACAGCCCCATGAATCTATGATACGGGGGTTCCCGACTCTACTACATCTCAATTTTTCTAAGGTAGTATTCACATAAAATACAAATTTTATTGTAACCTAATTATGTATAATAATGGATCATATGCAATATCAGTGAACAATTCAACTAGAAAAATTGAAAATAAATACAATGTATCTAAATACAAATTAGAGACATGTCATAACTGATTTTTTATCTTAAATAAATGTTTTGCGGCAATCTTTAAAATCAACTTGAGATTTTTCTTGTTAAAATTTGAATAATGATGTTGAATGTGTTAAAATTTGAATAATTTTAACACATTCAACATCATAGATGAAAAATACTGAATTTTATATAGCGTTTTTTTTTCCCAGCATGAACAAAAAAAAACAAAAAACAAATTACCCTAGAATGACGTCAAATCCGCGAAAATTTTTCATCGTTTAAATAGTTGTGCTTAGTTTAATTTGTAACGTATATAAATGTCGGTAGAAAAAATAAAATATTGATAAGATAATGAGAGTCACAAAGCACCGTCTGGTCCCCTAATTGGGCTTGGGTCCTACGATCGGGGGATTAGTGGGTAGTACCCATCGGCTCTGAATTGGATATGATCCTAGAAAAACTATTCAATTCTTCAGCTATGAAGAGTTTGACCTGCTGTCTTGCTACTCCTACTTAAGACGACAATTTCTCCTCTTTCTATTTGCTTTTTCCCCCTCTCTTTATCACCCCCCAACACACCAGTATTTAACCAACATCTGAGTGAAAGCGGTGGGGTTATTGATGTTTAATAAAAACTGTTCCATTTGTACGGCAAGAACGACTAAAATACTTAATTAAAATAAATATTTTCCCTTATATTAAGTTAATTTTATTAATTAATCCCATTTTAATTTAAAATACCTACTTTAACTCACACCAGCATTCAATAGGTTTCATCTTCAATGAGTCAGAGAGAAAAAAAAACATGGCGTCTCAGAATATCATGATGATGAGTTCATTATTTGCACTGAGTTAAAATGGCTGAACTTCCAGTCATCTGAAATTAATGGGTTTCAAGCTTTTATGAGAACATATCTACGATCGGACGCTAGTCGGTAGCTTGGTCGGTCGAACATAAATCGGCGTATTTTTTTTTTAATGCTTTTTCGCTTCGGGACGTAGGTTATAATGGCTCTCCAAAGATTTCTTTTCTTTGTGATCTGCGAATTTCCATGACTCCTTGGGAAAGATAATGGAGTGATTTCCCGTTGACTTCTCCACAGTTTCGAATTCTCTTAAACTGGCTTCAACAGATGGTTTTAGAACACAGTCTATCTTGTTATTTAACCCATAACTTGGCGAGGAGGAAAAGCTAACATCATTTCTGCATCCCATAGACTAGAGTAGACTTTGAAATCAAAGAAACATTATTCAACCCGCAGATTTAATAATCATAATTGATATATCACTGTATCAAAATGATCGCATATAAAACAGGGCACCGAGTATATATATAATACAGTTAAAAGGTTTGTCAACTTCACTCTCCTGACTCCAGAGTTTCATAGAGGAACCCTCCAGGAATCACCCCGTCCACTCATCAGGAGGTATCAGCAACTGACTACATATACTTATCGATTTTTATTTTTTTATATGCACTTTTAACTGGTGTAAGTTTCTATTTCATAGGGCATGTGTGTGCGTGTGCGCCTGTGTTCGTTCGCGTGCGTGCGTCCATTCGCCCGTCTGCGAGTATCAATGTCGTGGTTATTTGCCCTTTTCTTCGTTCTTTTCACTTAACGCTCACTCCTTAACTTTTTCCTCTTGTCTTTCAATTGTAGCCATTTTGACTTCAAGTTTTCCAGACATATACTGTCGTTATTAATTTTTGTGCGTTATATATATATATATATATATATATATATATATATATATGAGCGTTATATATATATATATATATATATATATATATGAGCGTTATATCTATATATATATATATATATATATATATATATATATATATATATATATATATATATATAAACACAATTGGAAAATATACTTTCTTAGTCATTACCGACGCGTGTCGTCAATCTGAAAAATTTAACAGATATAAATATAATTTAACATATATATATATATATATATATATAACCAAAATGTAACTGGTAGGGATTATTCTAACGAGCCCACACGAGAGCTCAATGTATGATACAGAGCAAATTATAAGAATAATTAGTAAAAAAATCCTTAAAAATCCATAGTCAGTAATAAATTTATTTTGATGAATATAAGCATATTCCTCTCAATAGACCGACTACATTTATGAAAAAAAAATCTAGTCGGTGTGATGAGGTGAATATACTTATATTCATTGAAATAAATTTATTATTGACTATGGATTTTTAACGTTTTTTCCCCAATTATTCTCATAACTTTCATTTTATTTCTCGTTAAGGCGTGTCCGAAAATTACGATATTTAACATCTTTAATAAAATGGCTAATATAATACAATATATATATATATATATATATATATATATATATATATATATATATATATATATATATATATTTTGTGGGGGGGGTGTAATTAGGCAGCAAATTCTCTTTTAGGCATGTCTAATGGAATAAATTACAGACATTACGTCTGCTAATTTTTAATGAAATCCGTTCATACTCACGAATAACCTTCCATGTATCGATGAGAGAAATGTACTATAGCTGTTTACATCTCTTTTATTTTCCTTTCCCAAGTACTTTCGATCTTCTTCCAAGATCATCCTCAGGGGTGCAAGTGGTACAAAGCTATATGTTGTTCATTAGTATAATTATTTATTATATTTATTAATTAATTAATCGGAGAGCCGAGTTCCAATTTCAGTTGTATCCATTATATTCACTTACGCACAAATAACCTTAAGAAAGGTATGAATCCACCTCTTCTTCCCCCAGCTATGGGTTAATTATTAAGACTGGTATCACTAAAATATTTATTTACTTTAAATAACCATCCAAGGATTGATAAGCAGTAGAAAACGAATTAATATATATATATATATATATATATATATATATATATATATATATATATATATATATATATATGGCTAAAGATCACCCTGGCGTGTGAAACCCATTTTCACTCAAATGACTTGGGTCATCCTGTAGCATGATTTCCACTCACTTTTCAAGGGGATGAACCCTGGGATCGTCTCCATCCCTAAGATGAGTGTTCCATACTTGTAACCTTGGGCTACATCTAAGTTAGTAAATATATATATATATATATATATATATATATATATATATATATATATATATATATATATATATATTGTTTAAGATTTGCTATATTTATAAGTTGAGTGTACTCAATATCATACACATCTTTTATATACAGCATGGTCATAAGAAGTTTTTTTTTATTTTTGTTTTTTTCTTTTGGTTTTGTTATACAGAAAAAAAATCATATTTAAACGGAACGCTGATCTTATATAAAAATTTCAGTTATCTGTTTGGATTAGTTGTGCTCTTATGCCCATCGTCTTTTCATGTTGAAATTTATATGTTCTAATGTTAATTATGTTTAATGAATATGTCCTGATGATGGTCTAAAATAGACCGAAACGTCCGACGTTGACGTTATATTAACATTAATACAGCATAATTGCATATTAAGATATATATATATATATATATATATATATATATATATATATTGTTTTGCCTTCATCGGGGTTGGAAAATCGACCACAGAAATCGATCAGAAAAATGATACAACAATCTCAATCACGCTGACTTATATAAGACGGTTACTGAAAAGTTCCCTGCCCGACCAAGAAGCCCTTCCCTCAAAAAATCTACCGTTTTGGTTAGATCTGGGAGAATTGGGTCGCGCCGAAGACTTTTCAGCGCATCTCTGCATTATCAGCATACGGCTCACGCCTACATTGCATTTGAATGGAAATTAACGTTGTGCTTCTCAGCAATCTTACAGTTCGAAGCTGGGTTGGAGGAATGGAGGCGTCGGAAGTTGTTTCGAAACTTATCCAGTACAGTGTAGCGAAGAGACTGGTGAGCAGTAGAGAGGGGAAACGACCGGACATACAAATTTAGAGAGTGTGCTGTGGATGGGAAAAAAGAAGAAGAAGAAGAAAAAAAAAAGAAAAACAAACCAACAAACGATCTCTGAGGCAAGAGGATTTTCGTGCCAAATTCAAGTCCTGGCTACCGTGAACCAATATAGTGATTTCGATGCTTGATCACAAAAATCGATATTTGCTAACTTTATGGCCTGATTGTTTCCAATTAACTCCTAGTAACTCCTCGTAGTTGGATAGTATACAGGTTTTAGACAGGAAGAAAGAAAGAAAGAAAGAAATGAACAGATTGAGATAGATAGATAGATAGATAGATAGATAGATAGATAGATAGATAGATAGAAAAAAATGAACAGATTGAGATAGATAGATAGATAGATAAATAGAAAGAAAGAAAGAAAGAAAGAAAGAAAGAAAGAAAGAAAGAAAGAAAGAAATGACTAGATTGGGATAGATAGATAGATAGATAACCTGAAGTGTTGCTGAAAGTTCTCGGCCCGACCAAGAAGGAATTTCCCCTAAAAAGAAAACAATAATTTGTGCTTACTTGGGAATACCAGATGCTGTAAGCTTGGATGTGTGGGTGGTGTAATTGATAATGGCGTGGATTTGTTTATTGGAGAGCCAAGTTCCAATTTCCGTTGTATTCGTTATGTCCATTTACGGGCAAATAACTTTGGGAAAGGATTGAATCCACCTCTTCTCCCCAGCACAGGTAAAGATTAATTAATAAGGCTTGTATCATTAATCCATTATCTCCCCACTCCAACAAAAAATTCCTAAAATATTTACTGGCTTTAAAAAAATTTACAAGAGATTGGTAAGCTGCAGAAAAAGAAATTAATCATATATATATATATATATATATATATATATATATATATATATATATATATATATTACAGCAAAAAAACAAAATGACCTCACAAGGGTATAGTCTATTTCAAGCTGGTCCGACACCAGTCGTCTTCAGACCTTAAAAAAAATATATATGCTCTGTTACAATAAACACATTGAGCTCTCTGTAGATCAGTTTTAATATTTGATACTAGCAGTAGAGCCCGGCATTGCCCGGGGATGTAACAGTAAGAGATAGATCAAATATCGACCATCATAAAGACTGAAAAATAAAATTGACAAAGATTATTGTTTAAGGTTGACAGACACGGATGTTTTATTGTTTGTTTGTTTTTTTGTTGTTGTTTTTTTTTTACGAATTGGTCAAACCCAAACTCAAACAAAAATATTTCAATCGTTATGAGTCTACCGATTGAATAGAATTTTATTATAAACAGTTGTCTTGTAAATAAAATTCATAAAGCATTCTGAATGTAAAATAAAGAAAAAAGTGTGCAAGACAATAAGAAACACTACCTGCCAAAAAAAAATGAAGTTTTGTTGAAATCGGTTGAAAAATGTAGGAAGTCCGATCCCATATATAAACGAAAACACACGCACACACACACACACAAACAACCTGGGTTTTATAATAAGTATAACTCGATAACTCGATATTAATAAGTATAACTCGATATGAGTCGTCCCCCTTTCATTAACGCCTCTTAATCGTGTTTTCAAATTGATTTCGTGCAAAAACAATTGTGCTTTTCCAATTTTTGGCGCTGTCAAACCCACCGCAAGGTAATTTTACGTCGTCCTGTGAAGTTTTGTTGAAATCGGTTGAAAAATGTAGGAAATCCGATCCAATATATAAACGTACATACACACACACACACACACACACACACACACAATCTGCGTTTTATAATAAGTAAGATTACTAGGATCTACCTGTATTATATACCAACGGATCTATCACGAGAGGGTGTGAAACTGACAGTCACGATGTGGTGATAATTTCACTATCCACATAGTCTATATCTATAAATGCCACTATATGGAGTAGTCGACCCCTATATGTTTACCAAATTTTAAACAATTTATACATCCATGCATACATACATCCATGCATAGATATATACATACATAGATATGTGAGTATAATAAGTAAATAAACAGGTAAAACACTATATCCTACCGCACTACCTAGGTTTCGCCCTGCCTTCTCCATATTTATTTTATATATATATATATATATATATATATATATATATATATATATATATATATAAAGTGAGAGAGATAAGTATGTATATAAATATATTTACATATGTGAATATAGTCAGAAAAAAGTGGAAAATTTTACACTTTGTCTCATCATCGTCCCTTTTGTTATGGATGATATTATACATCCTATATATATATATATATATATATATATATATATATATATATATAAACTATATATGTAAATATCAAGTTTACATATTTGACTATAGGAATATATATCTATACATTCATTCATACATAGTTATATATACATTCATCATATTCATATATATATATACTTACACACACATATATCTTAAATATTTGAATACTTACATATTTGTTAAATATTTAAATATAATTATAAACATTATATACATGTATATATATTAAAACTCATATATTATAATTTTATTTTTATATATATATATAACGCAATGCTCTCTCTGTTTCTCTCTCTCTCTCTCTAAATAGAATATATATAAAAGAATATATATGTATATAAAGTTCTCATACATGCATATAAATATATATATAATTTATATACATATATGAGAACTAAAATGAAACTAAATGTTGATATATACACACACACACAAACACATACATATAAATATATATATATATATATTAAACGTTTTTGGCCTTCACAAATCATTATCAAAGCATTGTTCGTGATTCGATACTATGCTATAGTATACGAGACATTCACTGTACTTAAAAAAAAAGTACTCAAAATGTTTCACCGATCAGACTGCGTATTCAGGATAAAAAACGGATTTTTATTTCAGCTAAATCCACATTTAGCAAGACAGAAATAGGATTCACGTTAATTATATGAACGCCAGAATTTTTTGACTCCAAGTGTTTATGGATGTGCCGATGGTTACAGGCTCCGAACGATAAGTCGGCGAATCGAGTTCGAATTCCGGGCAAGATCGTTACACTTCCGTTTGCATATATATATATATATATATATATATATATATATATATATATATATATATATATATATATATATATATATATATATATATATATATAGTGGAGTAGTTGATTGAAGAATCGGAGAGACGAGTTCGAATTCCAGTCAAATCTATTACATTCACTTACGTGCTAATACCCTTGGGAAAGGTATTCATCCTCTTCTCCCTCTAGCTATGGGTAAATAGCAAGACAATAGGAAAAGGACAATTCTAAATTCAAAACCTGCGGAGGGTCGTTTGAGGTCCTTGTGGCACGTAGTGCACCATATTTCTCTATTAGTATGGTTGTTACTGCACAAAGCCTTTACCACTAGAATCAAATCATATGTGCTGGTGTCTGGGCTGTCGGTTCCTCGACTCGGAGATTCCACCATATATATATATATATATATATATATATATTCACGAGAAAAAAAGCATTAATTCATCTCTTCTCTCCACCCCCGCACCTTGCTATGAAATCGATTGCAGTTATCTCCTGCTAATTTTCCCTCTGTATTAGGTTTATAATACCCAGAAATTCATACCCAGATGAAGGACACATGGCAAGTGGATAAAGGCGTTGGTTAGATCCAGTGACAGGACCCAAAGAGTGTGAGTTCAATACCCGGTTAAGGCAGTGGAGAACTTTCAGAGGGAAATTAACAGGAGATAACTGACATCCATCAAACATGGCACGTGGAACTAGAACAGTCTACCCCAGTGAGCGAAATAAAGGGTTCAGTTCGAAATTCCAACCACCTGAAGAAGGCCGGAGCGTACAACGGCCGAAACGTTGTGATAAATATGGCGACAAAGATGAGGACAATAGTCCAAATAATGTTTTTTTTTTTTTCTTTCAAAAATCTACTTCTGGAAATATTTTTTCTTCAAAAACTTATTGCTGGTAATAACCTTTTTACAAAGTATTTCTGGTATTAAAACCTATTTTTACACTTTCATAGTGTTTTGACCCCAGTTTAGGAGTTAACAATTTGCCATAGCGGGGAAACCCTAACAGGTGCTACCACCCCGGGTCAGGGTGAACCTGGGAACATCAGCAATTAAGAGGTGGTTCCACACTCCTCAAAACCTCCTGATCAGAGGCCTTGCTGTCAGACGTAGTTTATCGTCTTTACCAAGGACGGGGTATCATAGAACTGCAATAAATGTGTTATATAATTTCATTACCTTTTATATTCATATATGCTTTCCGTAACATTTCAGAATGTTTTCCTGGTAGGGGAGGGAGCATAGTTTACATTCTGTTAGACTTCTACTTCTGATGTAAAGATAGCGCTTCATTTTACATTGATATATATATATATATATATATATATCAATATAATCGGCCACTCGTATTCGAGGATACACGTATACTGGGCTGGCTGGCCAATCCCTATTACAGACACTCGCTCAGGCACATTTGTGTTACTCAACACCCACAGAGCCCACCTGTGGTCTATACTGCAACTATGTTGAGCAGACCATAGTTACAGTTTCTGGGGGATAGTGTGTTATCTAGTGTAATCAACAATCGGAACAACACCAGCACACTCAAACCCTCGGTCACGATGACTTGAGACTTCGTGCTAGCACAGGTATTGACGCACCCAAGTGTTCCGTCTACCCAATTTCACTCACAAGGCTTGGGTCAACCCGTGATATGGTTTTCAAGCACTTTACAAAGGTGTCGCACGCTGGAATTGACCTCGATCCAGTACGATAACATCAGAAAGTTTCCTCCCTGACAAATCGACTATGGTCAGATACCTTTATATATATATATATATATATATATATATATATATATATATATATATATATATAAAAGGTAGCTCCACGAATTCGCTAAAAAATGAGCATGCCATGATGAAAAATGCCGTAAACTTAATAAAAATATATCTGCTCTGAATCATAAAATAGAAAAATGCAATAAAACTAAGACCTTATTTGGATTGGTTTATTTTGTTTAACGGCATACCAACCTCTATGCGTTATTTAATGCCGACAACATTTTTAGAATAGATTCGTATGAATAGAATATGTATTCTTTGGTTTAGATTGGTTTGGTTTATTTTGTTTTTCGGCATATCAACTTTAATGGGTTATCTAATGCCGACAACATTTTTAGGATAGATTCGTATGAATAGAATATGTACTCTTTTGTTTAGATTGGTTTGGTTTATTTTGTTTTACGGCATATCAACTTTAATGGGTTATCTAATGCCGACAACATTTTTAGGATAGATTCGTATGAATAGAATATGTATTCTTTGGTTTAGATTGGTTTGGTTTATTTTGTTTTTCGGCATATCAACCTCAATGGGTTATCTAATGCCGAAAACATTTTTAGGATAGATTCGTATGAATAGAATATGTATTCTTTGGTTTAGATTGGTTTGGTTTATTTTGTTTTACGGCATATCAACCTCAATGGATTATTTAATAATGACAAAAGATTTTATTGCTGGTAATATTTTGTTTTGTCAAAAATCTGTTTCTGGTAATATATTTTCTTCAAAATTGTATTGCTGGTAATATTTTTTTTTCAAAAAAGTATTGCTGGTAATAGTTAACTATTTGCCCATGGCTGGGACCCTAACAGGTGCTACCACCCCGGATCAGGGTGGACCTGGGAACATCAGCAATTAAGAGGTGGTTTCACGCTCCTCAAAACCTCCTGATCCGAGGCCTTGCTGCTGGACGTAGTTTAACATCTTACCCAGGACGCGGATGTAGTTTAATATCTTACCCAGGACGTTAAGACCTTATTTAATTAGAAAAACTTTTAATTGCTTTTATAAAAAAGATATATTATGGATACTATAGACTTATGAAAAATATTTTTTCGATGAATAATGAATTTTTACAAGAATTGTTTTAATTTTTTTTTCAATTTTAATTAGAGTAATTTATAAACTTTTAAATATTTTTTTAAATTCGGAATTAATTTGTAGAGGTCAAGTTATATTGTTGCAAAATTAAAACTGAATTTACTAATTATAAATTTAAATGCTTACTACAATTCAGCGACACCTCGTATTTTAAAAAGAATTTTGAATTTGTGTGTGTGTGTGTTTGTGTGTAAACCTACCGATTTTTGTAAATATGACATTATCAGAAAATTAAGAGCGGTAACTATAGTACATTTAAAAATTATTAGTAACTTTCTAACATTTTCTCAACAACCGCCTTCCTAAGTTATACTCTAAAGTCAAAGTACCTCAAATTCAATAAAATGTTAGAAGGCTTAAAATATTTAAAAAAATTTAAGATTACTGGGTAATTAAAAAAATATATATCAAAAATGGCTTTTATGTTGTATTCGTCATGTAATTTTATTACAATTATCTCCCCATTACATAAATTTCCCGAACAGAAGGCTATCAATAAATGTGTCAACACCTCATAAAAACACCCACCTCTGTGTAAAAAGACTGCTTTTCAGCGTTATTTAAACAAAAAGTTAGTAATATCTGTTTCAATTCATATTAATTAAACTTCCTCTAATAACGTTTAAGAAAAGTATATTTCATTTTTGAAATATTTTTTAATAAAGAGAATTACGTTGTAAGATGCTGAGAATATCATGGACCGAGCATGTGAGCAACGATGAAGTCTTGGGGAGGATGCAAACAAGGAGGAAGCTTAAGTCTAACATAAGGAAGAGGCAGATGAAATTTCTGTGACACGTGATGAGAAAGGAGGGCCTGGAGAATCTGATACTCACGGGACGAATAAAGGGAACTAGAGACAGGGTAAATCAGCGCATGACATACGTGGCGGGCTTGAGCAGGTCTGGGGGAGTTGGCAGAAACACAAAACCTGTTGAGAGCCACAATGGATAGGGGGAAGTGAAGGGCCATGATCGCCTACGTCCTGAAAGGAGACGGCACATCAAAAGAAGAACAAAAAATACAATTCTAATCAATTTAAATTCGGTTTGAAATACAGATGAGTATTTTGCCTATTGAAAATATTAAATTTAATCTGTTAGCTTGGAGCTCATGAGCGGGCCTTACAGTTTATTGGAAAGAGCGCATAATTTGATATGATCACAAGTTTGAACTAGGCTAGTACGCTCATGCCCTCTGTCACGATGACATGTAACTTCGTGCCAGAGCAATCATCAACGACTTCCGAACGTTTCCGTCTATCAATTTCAGCCACAAAACTTTGGTGAATGGATGATAAGGGTGCTGCACACTGGGGTCGCCTCCCCAGGCCGATAACAAAAAAAAGTTGCCTCCTTGATAAATCAACTATAATGAGAATCGAACCCCGGTCTCATGGTTGGAAAGCGAACGTTCTCACCACTCAGCACGGTGAGACGCTGAAAAGTACTCAACCAGTCTCACTAACCAAATGTTCAAATATCTGAATTATTTTTTGTGAGGAATTCCCGTCTGTTAGCAGCAATGTGCTTTTTTACCACCTGCTAGTATATATATTAGGTTGGTGCAAAAATAATGATGTAATAATGTCGTTTTTGACGTTAAAAAATACGTCAAAAAAACGACATTATTACGTCATTTTTTGCACCAACTCAATATATATATATATATATATATATATATATATATATATATATATATATATATATATATAGAGAGAGAGAGAGAGAGAGAGAGAGATGCAATCGTCATGCTACCAAGTGTTGACTTATATGTTCACTTTTATATTTACACACTCTATCTCTGATATTGATCCCATTTATCCCATAAATATAGCACATTTTAAGACTATATTTCTTCATATATATATATATATATATATATATATATATATATATATATATATATATACCGGGTATAACAGCAAAATTGTCCAATTGTTAGATTAAGTTTGAATCGCTGTATCTTACAAATGATTAAAGATATTTTACTGGAATTCTCAGAGACCTTTATGACACTATCAGACTCTACTTTGAGCAATAAGAATATATTTAAGCTCTAAGTTGAAATTATGATCCTGCATGCTGTTGTAACCTCCTAAGCTAATTTTCCTCTATACTATTCCATCTTTTTTAAACTTATTCACCGTTTTCTTGGTGGTCTTTGAAGGGACTTTGAAGATAGGAGCCAGAGTATGAATGTTGGTACCATTACTGAGAGCTAAAATGATCTTTTCCTCTCACCATTGCTCAGTTGGGAAGGCATGGTGGGGCTAACACAAAACGAGTTTAACCTGTTCTCTTTCTAGCTGAACAACATAAAGGCTTTCTTTGTGATTCTTACGACAAATAGTGTCAAAATGGCTAAATGTCTTATCTGAAAACCTGGAAAAAATCAATCCGCCTTTATCCCTCCCTAGCTTTTAGTCTTGTGCCACATTTTTGTATTTATAGAAATATTGCTCTTCTCCTTGGTACATCGACCGCATGAATTTAAAATTTAGATTGTCAATTAGGCCTTATCGTTTTATTGTATAAATAGCTAAATGTAGCAGTAACTTCTACTCTAACGATTTTGTTTGTTTGTTTGTTTTTTCGTACGTCTCGCTTGTTGAATTCTCTTCCGTTTTCTTACTTGCCTGTCACAGACAATCTTCAAAAAATTAGATGCGACATAAATCGCCATCTTTTATCTCCTTGAATTCTATTCTTTCATTGTTTTGTTTTTTGGGTTTTTTTTCCCTCCTCACTAATGTCTTTTCATTCTCCCGGCAACCCATGGTGACTTAATGGCATGAACACCTTGGTTGGGGAGAAATTATTTGAAAAAATCAATTAGAAATAGTACTAATACAAAATTATAGCGTATTAATTTGTGTTGAAAGAAAGATGTAAAACTGGTAGCTTTTTTACGGCTTATCAACATATTTGCAGGTTATTTAAAACTAGAAAATGCTTTCAGATTGTAAGAATATCTTTGAGATAATAATTATTTACTGATACAGGTTTTACTAATTAATCCATAGCTGGAGGGTAGAAGAGATGAAGTCATACCTTTCCCAAGAGTACTTGCGCGTAAGTGAATAATAACTAACTCTACTGGAATTGGAATTCACGTCTTCGAATTCCAATTCCGAACACTTATCCAGTACACCACCCGCACATCCAAGCTTACAGTTTATAATATTCCCAAGCGGTCACTCAACTAAGTACTGACCAGGCTCGACGTTGCTTAACCAGTGATCATATGAGAATCGGTGCTTCAGTGTGATATGCCCAAAAGCAGGGAGCAGTAAAAATAGCATAAGCACGTGTCTTCAATTTACTTTTGCGAGACAGGAACGTGAAGACACAAGTGTTGAGGAAATTCACTTCGAAAATCTATGGCTAGCTGTAAGGGAGACCAACGAGGCCCATGGCGGCAACAGAATACCTCACAATTTCTATTTGTCACTTAAACCAGCCAAGCTATATAGCCAGGTTTGGTTTGAATCTGAATAAATCCACTGGTTTCCAAATTACGAGTCGCTTTGGGAATACACGCTCTATTTGGTCAGCTACGAGCGCCATTGGTCAGTTCTAGTTTTATTTGGCCAATTAAGACCTTATTTGTAAGCCAATCAGATTACTCGTGCTTCACTTTTGGTACAAACACACATACTGGTTCCTTGTTTGTAATAAATCATCAACGTGGGACAGGCTATTTGTTAATACCATGTCATAATCACATTTGTTTGCGACTACAAATACAACAACGTTTTGGCACTTATTCAACGACTGCCAGATTATTTGGAAACAAATCTATGAATTTCAATTTACCAAATACAAGTGCATTTTGTTTTGGACAGACTACAGAAAACGGTTACTTCATTTAACCACAAACTTCAATATTACTGCCTTAAATCTCCTAGTAAACTAGAATTTGGTTTAAGCTACAGGCCTTGGAATAAATTCCAGCTGTATGCCACATCTTGATGACAAACCTTCTCCTTATCAATCTTTTGCAGGATATTTAGCACCCCCCACACACACACACACAAAAAAATTAAATTGGAAGAATTTTTGGCGATACACGTTCTACTAATTAACCCATAGTTGGGAGTGGAAAAGGTAGTGTGATACTTTTCCCAAGTGAAAAGTAAGTGAATATAAAAACCCAACTGGAATTGGAACTGGGCTCTCCAATTTGCAGTTGTCAACCGCTATTCATTACACCACCCGCACATCCAAGCTTACCGATTTGTGCTCTTTATTCCTGCCTCTCAGTCCGTTACATGTGTTCTCTCGGTTAACTGTTAAGCGCCGGTCTTCCACAAAGTCTTCCAGTTTTTACAAGATCCTCCCTGTAAATAAATTGGTGAGCTTTATTTGCTAAAATATTTATTGATTCGATTTTTTTACGGTTTATCAACCTTTTGTCGGTTATTTAAAAGCCATATATATATATATATATATATATATATATATATATATATATATATATATATATATCAACAAACACAAGTGGAGTAATGTATATATATATATATATATATATATATATATATATATATATATATATATATATATATTATGAAATGGACAAAGTCCGACAATTATTTTATGAGATTTTTATGTTTATACATTCTTTTTATAGATACAAATATTTAAGTAAATGCTCTGTTTATAATAAACAGTATTAAACAACATTTACCGACCTGAATGTCCGAGAAATTTTCACAGAAAATATTCGTCCTCCGACAGGATTCGAACCTGTATCCTATACGGAACCGTCATTTAGCTTGACGTGCTTTTACCGATTTGGCCACAAATTTGCTAACCGAACGCGCCTCTGTGGCCAAATCGGTAAACGCACGTCAAGCTAAATGACGGTTCATATATATATATTTGCATACTTCCTTTCAATATTTTTTCGGATAGCATTTGTTGAAAAACATTTTTAATACTGAAAATCCTATATCGCCCACCAAACTTTCCAATCGATCACCATTTT